CCCCAAAACCCCAAAACCCCAAAACCCCTTTTTAATATTAAAAATTGAAATAAAAATAATTTTACCAATGTCCAAATTTTCAAAGAAGAAAGTTGAAGTTCTCAATACTCATCCAATAGAAATAGATGACTTAGAAGAGTCTGATCAAGATCTTTCAAAGTCAGGCTCTTTATTCTCTGCTATATTGAAATCTCTTGTAGATAAAAATAGCAATAGTTCTAAGAGAGATTTAGAGGAGCTGGACGATCTTACTCCTCTAAGCCAAAGAATGTTCCAAAATATAGATATCATTGTTGCTGGAATCATTGATTTGACACAAAAGTTCGAATCTAAGGTATTTATCACACAGTAAGATTGTATCTAGACTACCAAAGTTGAACATGAATCAAAAGACACTTTAGATCAAGAAATTAGAGAAATATTAAAAGAGTACTATTTAAAAATTCAAACTGGTATGTAACCGTTATCGTAATTCATCAATATTTGACATTAATCGATACCATTATAGATGAGAAAGGATCAGAAGTATCAGAGCATCATTTTACAAATTGATTTGCCACAAATCCACAAATAGCTGACATCTTTAGCGATCAAATCTATAAGAAGTTAGTGAAAATTCATCCAGAATTTCCATCCGAAAAGAAGCAGCAAATCCAGAAATACCTTGAACTCTTTAACCATCAGAAGTAAGAGATGGCCTGTCTGATCCTACATAGGATTTATAATCAGAATATTAGCGATATTCCTGTAGAAGAAGAAGGAAGCCATAGAGATTCTATTAGAGGAGAACTTAAGCAGAGTTCTTCATATCAACAATTTAAGAAAGAAATTCTGGATCGAAATGAGCATAAACTGTAAATTAATTGTATACTCTTTAGAGAAAGCAGAGGCTTATGGAGTCGCCAAGATGAATCCATTAATCTACTTCAAAATCCAGAAGATAAAGAAAGTCTCCTACAAGAGACATGAGGAGAGGCCTTACAGAAACCGAATGAGCGACTAAGCTACCAAGGCTTTAGAGATTCAAGCCAAAATTCTGAAGGAAATAAAGATAACCCAGCTTCAGTAAAACTTGTAGCACATTTCCAGAGAATCAAAGCATTGAATAATAAATCTGAAGATTCTGATAAATTTCCTTCTCCAAAAGAAGAAAATAAAAAAGTTGAAGTAGATACAAGAAAGTCTGCAATTCCTACTGGCACTGAGGCACACCAAATAGGTAAGAGGTTTGGAAAAGGCCAAGCAAGTATCCCTGAGTGTAAAAACCAATTGAACTTAAGAGAAGTTCAGAAGGAACCAATCAAGAAGAAATAGTCATAAATCAAATTTTAAATTAGAGGATAAAAAGCATGAAGACATATACCAACTTCTAGAAGATCTTAGTAGCCAGCATGATAAGTTGGTGACTCATTTCACACCGAGCAAAGATGGATCAATTAAAGACCATCAGGACATCGTAAAGAAGGATGATGTATAATTCTATGGTTACATATAGACTATCAATGATAGCAATCTTGGAAGCAGCCAAGAGATTCCTATTAACAACATTGTAATAGCTCAGGAAAGGTACAACTCCTTAAAGAATCAGAAAAAATTAAATAAGTCTGCAAAAAAATAAAGAAAAATCAAGACAATTTAATTTCATAATATGTGATGGCAAAGTCTCGCCTCCAAAGAGAACCTCTTATGATAGAAAATAAATTGTTCAAGCTATCTTCAAGTTCGCCTATTAGGAAAGGATACAAAATTCCGAGTAATTTACCTAACAGCACACAAAGTAAGAAATATTATGACCGAATAGTATCGACTGAAGCGAATAAGCAAACAAAGAATATTCAAAAATTTAAAACAAAGATAGCCAAACTAGAAGCCCGAGATAAAGTGTTGAGAAAATAAACAGTAATCTCAGACCTTTATTGAAATAGGGATACTTATACTGCATCAAAGAAGCAAGCTAAGGTCAAAAGGAAGCATCTCTCCAACATTGATAAAGATATGAGATACATCATTAAAAGTCTTGAGAAAAACCTAATTGGAGATCAAGAGATGAACTCTATATTTTCAACAGGCCTCCAGCTGAAGGATAGACTTATCGATCCGATGAAAGCACAACAATTTATGCAGGATGGTATGGGTTATCATCGGAGTGACTTTATAGGCAGAATGGATAGAATAATTGATGCTATACCAACTCCAAGACACAAAAAGGCTGTTGAATCATCAATACTCCAAGACCCAAATGAGAGGAGGCAATTGATAAGACTTTCAAAGAAATTCACTAAGGAAATAACTAACAGCTATCAAAGTAAGTAACATAGTAATTCTTAGGGAAAATGTCTGAAGCCAAAAGAGCTTATTTGAGAGGACCAAGAATTGTATCCAAGCTTAAATCAAAATCTAATCCAGCTAAGCAACGAACAATATTTGACATTAAGGACAGGAATGCTCAAACTGCATGATATAAGACCAGAATGACAGTGAATAAATTTAAAAATAGTCCTCCAAAGGTTGAATGAAAGTCAAAAGAGTGTTACCAGAATACAAAATATGGGCCAGCATTTCGATCAAACTCATATTCTATCCGAAGGCCTAAAACAAAGCAAAGAGAAGCTCGAAAATTAACTCTAAATGCTACTTTTCTTCCCTATTATGAAAATAAAGGAGCTGATTGCTATACAAATGATGATCTTGTGAAGACCCAGTTTCATTCAACAAATAAGTTCTCTCATAACAAAACTTTAAAGGAATGGAAGGCTCATCAAAATAAGAAGGTTCGTAGTTGATCGATTAACTCTAGACTTCACATTCTCAGATGAAGAACCCAGTAACTCACTCTCTAGATGCAAATTGTGACCGCATGCACCTTCCTAGCTTTCAAATAAGCGAAGGGTATCCTGCAAAGTCGCATAAAATAGACAGACTGTTTAATTACTACATTCACAACTCTGAAGAGGCAACCAAAGTAGACAATAACTTTAAAATTTAGAAATTAACAGGAAACGGTCAGAAATATTACGCGATAGGGGAGGGTAATAATCAAAGCTATATGTATGACTGATCTCCTGGATCTACTTCTCATCAGAAGGATTCCTCATCTCCTCATCCTCCCGCAAGAGTAGATAGTTTTCAAAAATCTCCAAAGAATTTGAAGCAATCAGTTAATAACCAGTTGAAGAATAATGTCAACACAGGCAAACTTGAAAGCACTTATATTTAAAGCTCTAAAATCATTAAGTAATTCAAAGCCTCAGACTGATAAAAGTAATTAATCATTTATTCTCTTTAGAGGCTCAAAATCTAATTGATTGGGCTGAAAGTGAGATTTACAAAAACATTTGAACAGACTCATTGACTGATTTTAATAATGAAGGAGATCAGACCTTTTTCTCTGAAGAAGAACTATCTCAAGTAATCGATCTAGCTCAAGAGGAAGGAATCCAAGATGAAGCGATGGTGAAGCCCTTCTTTTATAAATCAGCAATGACTGTCATGAAGCTGATTCAATACTGTGGTCTTGGTAATACAAGATATTATGATTCAGTTATGGATCATTATAAGGACAAAAACATTGAGAATACACTCAAACTGCTTATCAGAGCCAAACAGCTTTGAGCTATTAAAAATATACTCATAAAATTACTAAAAGCCATTCATCGGAGAGAAGAGATATCTTCCAAAATAACTGGTAAGCATATTTACAACTTCTAGCCATTCTGAAATGTAATGATGAAGAAAAAGTAGACCTTAACATTAAAAGGTGTCTTTTTAGAATAATCTATAGACTGATTACCTCAGAATCAACGTTTCTATTCAAGCTTACTCACAACATCCTCAAGTGGATCAAGGAGTTATCCCAAGAGTCCAAACTATTCGAGAAGATCCCATTTGTATTTAATAATACCGTATATGACAAGCATGTAAAGAATGAAGTTATTGCGATCAAGAGAATCATTAGTCTTAAATAATTTCAATGAATATTAAAAAATAAGGGGTTTTGGGGTTTTGGGGTTTTGGGG